TGGGCAGCCGCCTCCCTCACTCGACTCTGGGGGTCCCTGCCGTCAGAGGGGGCTTTGTTTCCTTTCGCATCTAGGCTCTTCCTAGATCACTCATAGTAAAGCGGCTGCTCCTTCCCTGGCAGGTGTGTGTGTGTGTGTGTGTGTGTGTGTGTGTGTGAGAGAGAGAGAGAGAGAGAGACACGGAGTGACTAACGGGCCCAGTAGCCCCCTGCCCTGGCCCCTCTCGTTCGGGTCCTTGGCTTTTGTGCTCATTCTCTGAGCGGCGTGCATTTGTCCCTCTGTTCAGTCAGCACTCTGCTGGGTGTGAATGTGTAGCTGCCCAGTCTCTAAGGCGGTTCTGAAGCTGCCCTGGTCCTGCGTGTGGATTCACAGAGAGAGGCTGTGTGTGTGTGTGTGTGTGTGTATCTGTGTGCGACAAGCCGTCTGTCACTGTGTCCCCTCAGCCACTTTACCTAAATCCTCTGCTCCCACGCTGAGGGGTAGTTCCTTTGTATTTTCTTTTGGCCAGCACATACTGAACACCTCCTGTGAGTGTGAGTGAGTGTGTGAGTGAGTGTGTGTGACAGAGTCCCCCGCACCCCTTGCTCTCTGCTCCCCCCCCTTTTCTCCAGCTTCATTTTGCTTTTTCCACACATGCCAACCTGTCTCTCTCCCCACTCCCCTCTCTCTCTATTTCTCCTTCTCCACCCATCTCTGAGACTCTGTCCAGCGTTTCCTTGCCTCCGTGCCTGACAACACCCTCTATCCATCTGCCTGTCTGTCCGAGCGTTACTGCTGGGCCCTTTTCCTACCTACCCCGGTGCCTGGCTCTACCGTGGTCCTCATCCTGCTGGGCTGTCTCGATGCCCACGCCTCGCTCTCAGCCCCTGAATTGTGAGCTCCATACCTGATCTCACTGCTGCTCCCGGGCCCCTCTGCAAGCCCAGCCCCTGCACCCCTCAAGTCCACCCCAGACTCAGCACCTTTCTCGCCCCCTTCTCCCCCACATGCTTGCTTCACCCCCACTTCCGATGACCCGTCCTGGCCAGGCAGTTTCACAGCCGGTGGTGGACACCTGCCCCGGGAGCCCCCACCCCCGGCGCTTCCAGCTCAAAGGGCCAAAGTTGGCGATTCCTTTCCTGCCCTGTGGACCCTGCTCCCAATTCAGGTCTCTCTGGGGTCTCTCTCCCTTTCCATGTGGATTTAGGCATTAGGCTTTCTCTCTCCATCACATTAGCTTTTTAATTTCTTTCTCTTCAGACTTTGTCAGGGTTTGTTCTTACCTGGACATCGTTACATAGCGTGTGTGTGTGTGTTTGTGTGTGTGTGCGCGCACACATGCACGTGCATCTGTTCCTCTCTTGTTGTCTGACATTCATCTTTCCTTCCCTCTCCTATCAACTCTTTCTCTCATTAGAAAAAATTGAGGTATAACTTGCATACCATAGATGTACAAATCTTAAATGAAAAACCTTGATGAATTTTACATGGGTCTACACCTGTGGATCCACATCCCAGAGCAAGAAACAAATCATCTCAGCCCCCAGCAGCCCCCTTCTCACTCAGGACCATCGCCAGCCGCCAAGCGAACTGGTTATTCTGATTCTCTTACTGTTTATTCTCATTATTTTAAATACAAAACACGATCGGGAATTTATTTTTTCTCACTGTGTATACGTGTGATATTCTGTCTATCTGCTTCGGAACTTTCTCAGGCATAGCTTTCCTTCTGAGAGTCCCTCATCTTTGTTCCTTCATTCGATCAACAATTATTGAATACCTCCTGAGACGGGCTGTGTGTGTCTAACCCACTCCCTCCCTCCCTCCCTCGCTGCTCCCTCCCCCGCTCGCTCCGCTCTAAGTCATTATTGAATTCTGCTTCTATTCTGTGCGTCACTGCAGGAGTGTATGTGTGCATGAGAGTGTGTTTGTGTGTGTCCTGCTTGCTTCCCCCACCTCTGCCTCTCTCTCCTCCTCTCCCACTCCTGGGGGCTCCATCTAGAATTTTCCAGGTGCGCCTGGCTCTGTTTCTCCCTCCCTCTCTCCTCCTTTCTTCCCTCGCTGTCTCAGAGGGTGGGTGAGCACTGGCCGGTGCTGTGTGTGTGTGTGTGTGTGTGTGTGTGCCGGGCCTGACCCCCTCACCTCCTGCCCCTCGAAGCTCCCCAGACCTCTTTGCAAACTCTATTAGTGTGTGTGTGTGTGTGTGTGTGTGTGCCGGGCCTGACCCCCTCACCTCCTGCCCCTCGAAGCTCCCCAGACCTCTTTGCAAACTCTATTAGCTCCACAGACAGCTAGCTGTCATCGGGGTCTCTAGCCGAGCCGAGCCCCAGATCCGTCCACCCACCACTGGTCTGTCTCCTCCATCTGCAGAGCACCCCTCCTGTTTTCGGCCCGTCCCAGAGCTGTCTCTCCGTGGCCCTCCCTCTCATTCCCTGGCTGTCAGCATTGTGTTCCTGACCCCCTGAAATGGCTTCGCTGTGGCCTCTCCCACTCTCCAGCCAACTCGGGTCTGACTCTGCAGACAAGTCCATTCTCTGATCCCCGAGGCCACCGGGTCGCTTGACACTACCCCTCCCTCCCTGCTGACTTCTCTCTGTGTCTGGCCCTGTCACCTGTCACCTGTTGCCATGCTCCAGCCTGCATTTGACAGCAGGAGAATGTGGTCGACAAGCACGGTTGCTGTTCCACGACGGGGTGGTGGTGGGGGGCGTGAGGGAGACAAAGGAGCCCTCCACCCCCCAGTCCCCCTGGAGTGGGGTAGAGCTTAGAGTCCAAAGGGTATCCGTGGCTGGACTCCCTGGTGTGGAGGGGAGCCCCCGAGCCTGGTTGGGCTGCGGTTCAGGCACCTGGCCTCATCTCCATCTTCTCATCTCCACCGGCTTCCCTGTCCTTCCATCTTGCCCTCGTGGGTGTCCCTCCCGTCTCTCTCCACATGTCAGTGTGTGTGTTCCCGTCTCACGGGTTGAGGGTCTGTGTGTCTCTGTCCCTGTGAGGTCTGTCTGTTTGTCCTCGTGCACTGGAGCGTGTGAGTATCTGGTTGTCCAGCCTGTGTGTCTGTGGATGCGTTTGTGTATTTATGTGACTGTCTGGTGTCCGTATTTTTGTGTATATGTATAACTGTTTCTCTGGGTTTGTGTGTTTATCTGACGGTCTGTGCGTCCTGACCTGGGATTCTGAAAGTCTCTGCCCCCGAGAATGGGAATGTGTGCTGGTCTCCTTGTGTGTGTGCGTGTGTGTCTCCTGTCTGTGTGTGGTGTTGCATGTGTGTGTGATGTCCATCTGTGTGTCTCAGGGACAGTCCTTCCTGGTTGTGTCTCCATGTATTGTGAGAATCACTGTGTCTCTGGCTGTGTCTCTCTGAGTGGAGAGGTCTCTCTGGATGATTTTGTCCATATGTCCTTTCCTCTCTGTCTGGAGGCTCCTTGTCTGTCTGTCTGGCCCCAGATCCCCCCAGCGCCGGGATATCCAGCTCATGTGTCTCACTCCCCTTCCTCTCCCTTCTCTGCGTTCTCCCTCCTGGGGGCTTTGTCGGGGTATCACGTCACGGTCTGTGCCCAGTGGCCTGAGCGTGGGCTGTGTGTCACATCTCACGCCGCGTGGGCTGACAGCGTGCGTCATCCCGAGCCCCTGGCGGAGTGGGGGTCTCGCCTGGCCGCTTCTGCTTTCCCTCTGCCTCCCTGCTATCCCTTGGAGCCTTTCTCGAGCTTTCTTCTCCTTTCTTTCTGCGTCTGGCCTGCATCTCTGTGAGTCTCTCCAAAGCACCTTGCTCTTGCCCCTCCTGTTGCTTTTCTGTTGCTGAGGGAGTCTGTTGGGGAAACTTTCAGGGTTTAATCAAGTCTTAATCAACCAACCCTGCGGGGGGCAGAGCCAGCAAGGCTGGGGCCTGACCGGTCCTCCTTGTCCTTCTTATTCCTCCTGTTCTCATTAGGGTCCCTCTCCCTGAGGGACACTCCCCTTCAGAAAGAAGGCACCCACTGGCACCCACAGGAACGGCCCTTGGCTGCAGACAGGGCTCCGCTACCCCCTACTCCCCCCAGCCCCTGCCCGCTGCCCTTCTGCTCCAGCCACCCCGCCCTTGCCTTTCCTTGAATGAGATGTGCCACCCACCCCAGGGCCTTTGCATGTGCTGTTCCAGATGCTCGGAGTGCTCTCTCCTGAGATCTGTGTGCTTGCTCACCTCTCAGATCTCTGCTCCATCGTTCCCTCTTTGGAGAGACCTCTCTGATGACTGAATCTCACACCTCCATTTTAGCTTTCCTTACCTTATTTTGCTGTCTTTGTCTTCAGAGCACTCTGCACTTCAGCTGTCATCTTTAAAAAATTTTTTATTTATTTTAAACCTTTTATATATATGGCAGTATAGCCAATTAAGAGCTTGCCTGGTGGTTCAGATGGCAGAGAATCTGCCTGCCTTGCGGGAGACCCAGATTCGATCCCTGGGTCAGGAAGATCCCCTGGAGAAGGGCAACCACTCCAGTGTACTTGCCTAGAGAATTCCATGGACAGAGGCAGCTGATGAGCTACAGTTCATGAGGTCGCACAGAGTTGGACACGACTGAGCGACTAACACACACACACATAGCCGATTAACCAACAATGTTGTGAGAGTTTCAGGTGAACAGGAAAGGGACTCAGCCATGCATATACATGTATCCCTTCTCCCCCAAACCCCCCTCCCATCCAGGCTGTCACATAACATCGAGCAGAGTTCCATGTGCTATACTGTAGGTCCTTGTTGGTTATCCATTTTATTTTATTTTTTTTTACTAGGCAAAGAATTTTTTTTATCTTTGTCTCAAACTTTATTCTTAGGCTTCTTCAGCTTCATTAGCTGCCAAGAATGAATTGTATATAAGCAAAAACTGCAAAGAGCTGCAGTGTCCAGGGGCTTAAGCTTAAAAATATTAGGGATCTAGATTTTTATCAGATCCATAAACAAAATTTTAAAAAGCAGTCATAATATAAAATAGCAGCTCCCAGTAACTTCTTCAAGATTCATCTTCTTCAGAAGTTAACTCAGTTCAGTTTGCTTCGTTCTTGGAAGCCTCATCAAAATTCTCCACAAGATCTGGACTTTCATCATCATCTTTCTCTCCCATGGCAAGTGGTGCTTTTCCATCCACGGATTGTTTGGGCAGAGCTTCAGTCAGTCTCCTTAAACTGGTCAGACTGTCGGCACCAAGCTGGTTTAAGATGCTGGGGAGCATTTCTGTCAGTTGCTTTGTCTTAGCGTGGCCTGTAATGGTGAAAGTGTTTGCTGCCAGAGATGCCTGAACTTTAGGGTTGTTAAAGTGGATCACTGTTCCTTGATTTGTGAACATATTTACCTCTTCAATACCAGAGATATTGTTTACCCCTAACTTCTTTAAAGAGAACTGAAGTTTTTTGTCATCTGCTGTGGCTGTTCTATGAACCACCTTCTTCTTTCTGCGAGCAGTTCCTTTCCCACCAATGCGCACTTGTGCCTGCAGTTTGGTGAGTTTCTCCTGGTTCATGATAGTTTCTTTCATCTTGTTGGAGCGGAAATGGGGCCACGCGGGGGACTAGGGTTGGGGCTCAGGTGGTCTCTGGCAGACCAGCTGAGGTTAGGTGCTGGTTATCCATTTTAAATATAGCAGTATGTACATGCCCATCCCAAACACCCCAACTGTCCCTCCCCTCCAGGCAACCATAAGCTCATTCTTAAAGTCCTGCAGCTATCATCTTATCCATGAATTTCTTGGTTTATTTTCTTTTTCTCACACCATCCTCTCTGCCACTGTGCTGTAGGTCCCCAGAAGAGGCAGGGAGTGTCTGTTCGTTGCTGTGTCTGCAGGTTCAAGAACATTGCCTGGCCCGGGGAAGGCCTTCAGTAGCTGTTCTCTGACTCATCGAACAACCTAATGTCTAAGCCCTGCCTGGCTGGGATACAGGGAAGTGCCTCTTCTTGTCCATCCAGTTCCAGAGAGGCAGCCCCCAGCTCCAGCCTTGGGGACCCCATCAGCTGTCACCTGTGCCTAACTGGTCCCCAAGTCCCGGGGCCTTGGCTAAGTCCTCCCTCCACACAGTGCCTGCTGCTCACAGCTCATCAGCCCCAATTTGAGTGACTGATGCCTGCTTCCTCTCTGGTCTCCTCCAGTCTCTGATCTTACCCTGGGGACCCCCCTCTGTGCACTTGGGGGACCAGTCACAGCTCTGCAAAACAGCTCCGCTCATGCGCTCTCCTACCTCATAGGTCTCTATGGCGCTTACCTCCAAGAAGCATTCAAGCCCTCCCCTCTGCCTTGTCCTCTCCTCTGGCTTCTAAGCCTCTCCCCCTGCCACACCTCCTCCCACCCCGACCACATGCTTGCATGCCTCTCCACCTTTGCAGGTACTGTTCCCTCCACCTGGAACTCCATTTCTGCAAGTGCCTGCTTGGTGAACTATTTTTATTTTTAAAAAATTCTATATATTTATTTGGCTGCAATGGGTCTTAGTTGCAGAATGTGGGATATAGTTCTCTGACCAGTGATTGAACCCCTGGCCCCCACGTGTGGGGAGCGTGGAGTCTTGCCACTGGGCCACCAGGGAAGTCCCTATTTTTTTAATAAAAAAATTGTTTTTTATTGAGGTGAAATGTGTATAAAATGAGTCATTTTCAAGTGAACAATTTAGCAGCATTTAGTGTATCCACAATATTGTGCAACCTCTATCTAGTTACAAAACATTTTTTTTTAAATCACCTCCCGAAAGAAGATGCCCTACCCATCAAATGGTTATTTCCCATTTCCCCTCCCCCTTCCTGTCCCTGGCCACAACCAATCTGTTTTCTGTCTGTATTGATTTATCTAATCCAGATATTTCAGATAAATGGAACTCTACCATATGTGACCTTTTGAGTCTGATTCCTTTCACTTAGTGTAATGATTTCAAGGTTACGTTGTCCCATGTGTCAGGACTTTGTTCCTTTTTTATGGCTGTATAATATTCCACTGTAAAGAGAGACCACACCTTGTCCGCTTTGCTTTGTCTTGGGATACTGACCCTCCCTTGCCTGGCCCTGGGGGTGATCCGGGCTGCCCTGGGCTGGCTGCACACCCTGGACTCCCCAGGCTGTGTCTCCCTTCCTCCCTACCTGAGCTACCTACCATGGCCATCTCTTGAATATCTCTGCCTTTCCCCTTTGCCAGCCTTTCTCCTGCTGCCCCTTGGCTGGCCAACCATCCCCAGTTCCCCAAGATCAAACTTTCTAGACACCAGCTCCTTCTCCAACACGCCTCTGACCACGTCTGTCCTACCACGTCTGTCCAGCATCATTCACCCCGCCCCCATCAAAATCCAGGCGTCGACTCCTACTGTCTCTCTAGCTTTGTCGCTCTTCCAGCTCCCCCACGCCAGCTGCCCAGACCCCTCCCATGGAGTTCTCACCGCTCTGTCCCTAGTGTTGCTTCCTGACCTGCCTCAGAGCTCCGGGAATCAGATCTAAGTCATCTCCCCCACGGCACCCCCACCCCCGGTGGAGTGAGTGTCTTCAGGAAAGAAGGGGCTTCCTGAATAGCTCCTGCCCCACTGTGTGCTGATGGCATCCTTTTGTCAGTTCAGGCTCTGGGTTGCCTGTGCCCAGGATGGTTCCTCCCCCTGGGGGACCCTGGCCCACTCTTCTGAGAGCCTCCTGCTCTATGTTCTCTCCTACCTTCCTCTCTGAAGCATTAGGTGGCTTTATGCTCCTTTCAAGCATCAGATGCTTTGTCGTGTGTGTGTGTGTGTGTGTGTGTGTTGGTCTGTCTGTCCATCTGACTGGCCACCACACTGTACTCCTTGCTTTCTGTCTGCTTCAGCTCCGGGGGTCATTGTCATTCTTTGAACGTGTCTCTCTCTCTCTCTCTCTCTCACACACACACAGTGAGAGAGGGAGAGAGAGACAGAGACAGAGGAGCCCCCTGCTCGGCCCGGCCCCCTTCTCTGCAGGTTTCTTGCTTTTGTGTTCATTCTGTGAGTCTCCGTCATTCAGCCCTCTATTCAATCAACACGGCTCGAGTCTCTCTCGTGCGCTGGGCTCTGTGTGTGTGTGTGTGTGTGTGTGTGAGACTCTCTTCCCCTCCCTCCAGCCGCTCCCCTCTCTGTCTCTAAGGCGTTAGTGAAGTCTGCCTGGGCTCTGGGAGAAGGAGGTGGAAGGAGTAGGGGCGCCTCTCCCCGCTTCCCTGCCCCCTCTGGTCTGTCTGTGCCCACTGTCCATCTCTCAGCCTCCAGTAACTCGGGCTCTCTCCCGCATCGCTGGCTCTTCATCCCTCTTTCCCTGTCTGCCCAGCACGGTCTCCCTCTCTGTCTCTCTGCTTCTGCCACACTCGGCCTTTCGTCTGGCTCTTGGCCTCCCTCTCCTTCCTCCTCGACTTTTCCAGATGTGTCCATGTCTGACTCTGCCTCATGCCACGTGTTTCCCTCAGCCCCTCCTCCTCTCTCGGGCTCCCCTTCCTCCGGGGCTCTGTGTCTCTGTGTGTGAACGGATGTGTGTCCATGAGTGTGTCTTCACACCCGGGTCTCCTATTCCCTCCACCTGCCCCTAACCTGCTGGAACTCCCAGGGGCGCGCTGCCTGGGGACCAGTGTCTTCCCAACGGCACCCCCAGCTGTGACTTCACTGCCTCCTGGGGCGTCATGCTTGACAGGGTCCTCACACCCTCACATCTGGCAAGTGCCACCAACCTAAGCCCTCCCTCCCAAGCCCTCTTGGAGTTGGGGTTCACCATCATTCCTCTAGCTGTCCAGGTCAGCTGGGCCCCTCTCCCCCCATAGCAGCCCACCCTGCAGACACTGTCCCCCAAGCAGCTCTCAATTCACCCGCCCTTCTCCCTCCCTGGTCAGGGCACCTTGTCTCTCTTTGGAAGGCTCCCCTGGCTTCCTTTCTGTCCTTCCTGCTTCTGCTCCCATCAAGGATCAGAGGCAACCCCCAACCCCCAGACCCCAAATCCCTTCACTCTCATCATGCAAAGAACAAAGCCAGCTTCTGAGGTCTTCCAGGCCCTCCGTCCAGGCTGCGGGGGCCCTGCCGCCTCCTTCCAGTCTCTGCCTCTCTCTCCCTCTGTATTTTGCTGTCTCTGCCTCTCTCTCTCTCACCAGGCACTTGTGCTCCTCCAAGCCTTTGCCCTGTGCTCAAGTGTTCCCCCTGCCTGTTAAGCGAGGCCCCCTTTTGCCCCCGGCCTTCTGCCCCCTCTGTTTGGCAAACTCTGCTTCCTACCCCCCACCCCACCCCGGACTCTGCTTTGAGCTCTTGGGCTCTGGGACCCTTCTCTGGGAGATGTTCCCTGCCCAGGCCTCGGGGTCAGCCCAGACTTGCCGCCCAAGAGTGCAGCAGGCTTGAGGGGACCAGTCTAACCCTGGGCACACAGTAAGTGATCGGTAAATGCACCCTAGTCTCCTCCAGGAGCTTGTTCTCCTTGTGTGACTGCAGGTGTGTGTGGAGGTCTGGGGCTCGGAGCCTCAGTTTGCCTATTTGCCCTATTTGCACTGCTCCCTGCTCCTCTTGGTCAGGGGGCTGCCCTCAGTCCCAGGGCGGGGAGGGATGGTGTGTGTGTGTGTGTGTGTGTGTGTGTGTGCGTGCGCATGTGTGCACACATGCGTGCACACACACGTGGATATGTCTGATCACTGCCCTGCTTGTTCTCTGTAGCTTCATCTCCATTCAATCTCTGTACCATTTTTCTTTCGTTTCTTTCTCTTTCAAGGCACATGTTTTCTCCTGATCCCCCAAGTCCTACATCCATCTTCATGATTGAGCTATTAGAAAATACAGAGAAGCCCGGAGAAAACAACAGAAGTCTCCTATTGATCCCATTTCCCGGAGGCGGGGCCCCGGCCCCAGGGCTGAACTGTAGCCCCCCCACGCCCCTTCCTCTGTCCCCGCTTCTGTCTCACACTCCCTGCCCCTCTCATTCCGTGTCGCTGTCTCCGGGCTGACTCGGAGCCCCTCTCTGGGTCTCTCCCCATCCGCCCCGCTGTCTCTGGGTGTCCGTCTCTGTCTGCAGGGGCTCTGCTTTCCCCATGGGGGCAGGTCTCTCCCACATCCACACTCATCCATTCATAAAGCCTGTCCTGCGTGACTGTGGGATTGCAGGTCCCCTCCCACCGCTCAGGTCTCCCTGCATTTTACCCCTAGTCTCTGTGAGCTCGGGGGCGGAAGGCATGTCGCGCTTGTGTCCATGTGTCTGGCTCCCTGGACACCCATCTGCCTGACTGTCTGCACGCCACCTCCCTCTCTCCACAGCCTTTTGAAATTGCCATCTTGTTCTTGCCCTGTTACATGCGTGCGCTCGTGGACCTGTGTGTGTGTGTGTCCCCTCCGCAGGCTCTCGCCTCTCTGACTTCCTCTTTGTGGTTTCCTCACAGTTTGCTCTCCCTGTGTCTCCATTGGTCACTCCCATTCATAAGTTCTTTTGCTCATTCAAGAAATAGAGCATCATTTTTTTCTGAATTGTCTGCCAGCAACACAAATTACGTTATTACCATTGTGCTAAAATCTCGTGGAAGTTATAACCACAACCACCATCAGAGCAATGAAGGTGTTAGAGGCCTGTTGTCAGTGGCCG